AGGAAGGGGGGTAAGAGATCAACTAAAGGACTTGTATGCATGCATATAAGCATAACCGATGGACATAAGACACTGGGGGATAGGGGAGGCTAGGGGACTGTCTAGGGGGGGGGGGAAAATAGACACACATATGTAATTCTTTGTAATACTTTAAGCAATAAAAAAAAAATAAAAAGAAAAAAAGAAAGAAGGCCTCACAAATAACAAAGAGCCAGTTTGGGTAAAGAGCAATGTACATGCAAGAAGGTGGTAAGCAGCTGAAATTTAACTAGGCAAAAACAAGTACATATACAAGCCTGTGAAAACTGCTTTTCATTGTTTCATCTTTTATTTAAAAATCACACTATTTTAAAAATGTTTGAAATATTTAAAAAGTCATTTTCTATTACAATCACAAACTTCTTCCTTGTATCAAAAGTTGCGCCACTATCTTGGTTACTTGTGGATTCACCAAGCAGTCCAGTAAGTCATCTGTAGAAATGAATGTTTGGGAAGGGGCCATAGTACTATTTGAAGAAATCTGTTCCACAATTTTATTCTCATGTCCACTCATCATTCGTTGCTTCTTGGTACAGTGCAATTTGTCAAAGTGCTCTCCAGGTTTGCCAACAAAGTCTTTACCATCATTGTTAAACATGCCTCCTGTTTCTGAGGGTGGATCTTCTGAACTCGGTAGTACGGGAACCAGATCAGGGCCAAAGGGACATGCTGCCTGCTCTCCTACTGTTCCCAAGGTTAAGTTCTGGCTGCCTGTTTGTTCTACCTCCATGAGGTTGTGCATGTTGAATTCTTCCTTTTTCATGTGCTCTGCCTTTGTTCTGAGTGTTTGGATTTCTACGGTCTCAGATGTCCTGTAATGATCAAAAAAGGCAGAAACAGCTCTATTTAAGTAGCGACAATTGACTTCATGGGACGTTTCTTCAACCTAAGGAAAAAGAGAAATCTTTTAAGTGGTTACATAAATTGGAAAATAAATTTAGTCAGGGTTGATTTATTACAGAATACCAACTGCCGTGATGGAAACCAGGAGCGGCCTACCTCCGTTGGGTTTAACCAAGCCCTGGTACTGTGTGGGTCCTCCGCAGTTTTCAGGGCGCACACAAGCATGCGGGCGATTGCCTCTTCTACCCGAGCCTGGTGGTCCTCTTCCTAAGTTGAGATAAAAACATTTTTTCACTTGTCTCTGTCTCATGGCTTACAACAGAGAGTAGAGTCCTTTAATTGTGTGTTCTGTTCTCATCAGCATAAGCTTTGTTACAGAAGGAATGGCAGACCACAGTGTTTTATGCGTTCACTATCATCTGACATCAAGAAAAGCTGTGGAATAGTTCACTAACCAAACTTACGTATATATCCTGTTTATAAGGCATAGGCCTTGAGTATGAACTGTCCTGTGATGTTTTTTACATTCTTTTCTATTCTCTGATAGGTGTTAAACAGAAAAAAAAAAGTTTTACCTATGGAAGAACAATCTCTATAGAGGTTGATAGCTAATTGAGGAATGGGAGGAAATTTCAAATAAACATGCTTAGCCACAAGAATATAAATATGTGAAAACACAATAAATATAAATATAGCATTTATGAGAAATTGTACTAAAATTCACAACTTCTGATCCTCAAACACATAAGAGAAAAAACAAACCAGATGCCTGTAACATCCTATCTAATAAAAGAGAAACATGGTAATTAGCCGTACATCCGCTACCCTTCCCATTGGCTAATCAGGGCCATATGCAAATTAACTGCCAGCCAAGATGGCGGCCAGCAGCCAGGCAGCTTGAAGTGAACATGAGGCTTGCTTGCTTCAGTGACAGAGCACTCCAACATTCCCAGCCTGCCGCTGCAGGCCTCTGAGCCTGAAGTTTAAGAAACTATGTAACAAATATAGAAGCGAAACAAAACCCCAGAAACCTGCTTTATCCGCCAGGCTTCAGCCAGCAGG